AAGTCATAAATAAACTTCTTCTGTTTATAACTTTTGATCTAATCAATATTTTTTGACGCTCGAGGGCTAGTTTTGTAGGTCTTTTGAAGGCGAAAAAAAGTACTTTACTGTTTTCTCGTGGAAATGAACAGAAAAAAGTTATAAGCGAAAAACGTGAATTTACGTGAAAATTATACAATTAACCACCCTGTAAACAATCTTCCCCCCATTTTTATGACTGTGGAAACTAATATATTATTGTACATAATATTTAGCATCTATAGTGATAAATTCAGCTTGCCGAAACGAAAAGTTGCGAAATGGTCATTTCCCAGGTTATTTTCCCGGCCTATGTCCAAAATAGTGCAAAGCGAAAAGGTAATTAGGCAAAAATTTCCGATTTTCTAAATGTTACTCGAATCCCAGTCGACCTGCGGGTCCGGTAATGGCGTACCGCCCTTTTTAGTATATTTTGCCGTATATCTTCCGAATCACAGTCGCAAAACAAAGGAAATGATAGATGGAGGACGGTGGGCATATAGGTTAAAGGTCGACACATTTCAACTTCAGGACAGATAGCCGGTCGTGTAATATTTTACGTATAATATTTGCGAAAAGTCCTTAAAATTAATTTGTTTTGTTTGTTCATGGACTCAAGAGGCAGTCGATTATTCTACACAATGTACGCATTTAAAAATGTTTTTGCCCCGAAATGTCGCGTTCTCCGGGCAATTTGTGTTGATTTCTTTGCAGGATATTACCGTTCTACCATCTTTATTGTCAAAATGAGAATAGATTTGACTGTATACAGGATGTTTTATAATAGTATGTCTTTATACAAGGGGGGTGAATCTGCGCATGATTTTAAGTTAAAAAGTTCATATAAACAACTTTTACCCTACCCCTTGAATATCCCCAGATATCCTGCCATTCCCGTACTTTTGGCCCACCCTGTATAGAAAAGTGTGAATTTACATGACCTGATTCGGCTCAACCAATCAGATTAATCATGCGATCACCTAGTATGGTGTTACCACGCGTGTGTAGAGAACTGTACTATTTGTTCATTAGGCATGTTTAGATTTATTTGTGGCGGTAAAATACATATATTTCAAATTAAACCTATGAAAATTCAAAATTAGAAGCAGTTACTGTATAATTGCAATAGAACAAATGAAATCTTCTTAGCAAGACATATCCGTTATCTTTCTATTTGTTTTAAAGAAAAAAATCTCGCTTCCTTTTATATTTCCCAGTAGACTGCGACATTGACGCGCGATTTTTATTTTTTATTTCCCGTTTCGCGGATTGCAATAGCGCATCTAGACGTCTAAGGAAACAAAGGAGCATCAAAGAAAAAGCCAACCGAGCTGAACGAGTGCCACTTCCAGCCGCCTACCGGTGTGAGACAGGCATAACTAATTTAATTAATAAAATTACCTGGGTTTGACGCCACGAATCTGACAATAGTGTACCCCCCGTCGGGCACGGTGACGGTGTCCTTAAGCGGGGCGTCCAACAGGTTCCTCTTGATGAGTCCCTGCCTGTCTCTATCCTGTACCTCCTCCACGGTGACGTTCTCGCCTAGCCGCTCCATGGCGACTATCCTGAAATTGTGGCCATGGATGTGCAAGGGGTGGTTGGCGTCGTAGGCGAAGCCCTCGTCGACGAAGACCAGCTCGACGACGGCGTCCAGAGGCACCTGTAAAACAGAAGATGTTAGTCACTTATATAGGCATGATCGTCATCTTTTATGCGTTCTTTGCTTCAAAAACACGCATTTGTTGACAATGTTCGTCATCAGCGACGTTACAGGGTGTTTTTAAATGAAGTAGCAAAAATGGTACCAGTGAATGTAGAGCCAAAAATAAGAGGATTGAAGTAGAAATGCCTTATATGAAAGTTGCACCCCTGAGGCGATATATCATCTTAAAGGAGGGGTGTTGAAATTCACATTTTAATTTTTTTTCTTTAACATGAGGAATGCTAGAGACACAAAACTTGGTATGAGCATCCTACTAATAAAGAGACAACTTTTCAATATTTGTTCGATCATTGGCGTATTTTATAAAGGAGTGAAACAGTCGACCCCATTGCAATATTTTATTAGAAATTTTTTATATGAAGCAAATTATTTATTTAAAAATATTTATTGAGAAGACTGAT